CCAGTTTCGATTCGGTATTCCGGATCAATACCGATGGTTAGGCCATGCAAACCGAAGCTCATCGTCATTTAAGAGGACAGAATGAAGGAACGGGGAAGACCGAGTGAGGGATTTCTCAAAAATCAGCTTGCAAAAATCACCGGAAAATCTATTATATAATATAATCTCATTTCTTGCATAAATGCAACTGTTCCTTATCGGAGACAACTTCCATGCGACAAAGATCGATATGGGGAATATTCCGTAACAAGCTTGTACACCAGAATCTTAATTTCGATTTGACAATGCATGTCTTGTTGAAAAATTACAAAGTAAAATTACAAAGTGAACGAGAGATCTTTAATTAAATCTCACTAAGGACACGCCCGTAAATTTCGTCCGTCTATTTCAATATACTTAGTTAATACTAGTGAATTGATTACTCAAAGTTGAATTGCCATCGCTAAGTCTATATGAAGACCGTCTGCCATTTGACTTGAGGAAAAGCCAAAGTTGTCACCATTGTTTGTTTTACTTAGCTCGAAATAACTCGACATTTCGATCGAAGGAAAAGTACTTTACATGGTTTATGAACTTTAATAAATTCATTCAGTTTAATCGTTAATGACAGCGCCGTCAGAATCCTTTAACAAATATTTTTCTACTTACAAACTTTGGTTACAATTTAGTTACATTTTTTTATTTTTTCTTTAATGTCATTTTTTTATTACAAGTTTTAATCCGCTTTGCTCCTAGTTATTCCTAGTTATACGAGTCTCCTCGTGTAGCCGAAACGAATTCAAATCTTAAATTTTTATCTTGTATCGTTTAACTTGCGCGCCTTGCTACGTTTAATAAATATTTTTACTTTTATTTTATTTTAAACGATTATATTATTTTTGCTCGTTCGTCTTTATTTACACTTTATTATCTTTCTATTCCTCTTTGCGTCCTTTTGCGCGTTTTGACGCGCACAATATTGTAAAGCCCCGGTGTAAAAGTTGAAGTCTAATGCCCCGGGATAAACACAATTATTACAACGGATGGAAGCTGAGAATCGCAGTTCCAGAAAGGGTCCTCTCCTAAATCCCACGAGCACCTGCGACGCGGAAATCCGTGGCCGACCTGTGCAAACGGGTAACATTCTCGCTGCGAAATGCGAAATACGAGATGAAAATGGAGCATTACGGACGACCCGTACCTACTTTGTAACTGCGATATTCCTCCCGACCCTTATGTTACAAGCATGCGAATGCCGCATTTACGTAGAACGAAATATACATTATCGATCGGTCCAATACCCCCGTGGCGACGCGAATACATTAGGATGTTCGTAGGATTGACACGAACACGTGGCGATTTCTTTTATTCAACGAAACATCTAATCTCCTTGCGGAGAGGACTGCTAACCAACTACCAACGACGAGCGAACATGCACGCAGCTGTCCGCATGCATGTGTTTTCGCGTCGCGAACGATCGCGGCCTAATGAAAATTACTTAAAAAGTATCCTAATGAAAATTATTAAAAGAATATCCGATTACGACAACGATCACGACGCGGAACGCCAATAACAGAACGGCAATCACGTGAACGCAACGCCGCGGTCGTAGAAAACTAGCTTTCTCAATCGTAAGGAATAAGAATACGTCGTCGTATCGACGACCGCTGGTCGATGATCTTAGAGTCTTCGTTCTTTTTTCGTATCTTCCTGAGGAGTGAGCCTCAAATCGCGATCGAGGGAATATTTTGCGGGACTTGAAAAATGCAAAAATGTGAAAACGCGAATGAAATCCTTGAAATTTAAAATGTGTCATTAAATTTTTATGTTTTTTTATATCAGAACGCACGCTTGACGTTCGTCGATCGGAGCTCGTAGAAGAAAAACTCCAGTGCGGTTATCTCTTATTCCTCGAACTTATTCCATCTCTCTGTATCTCGTTCATTTTATTCGCCTCATTTCCATTCCCCTTGTTTGAGCGCCATGGTGTGATTCACCCGTGATGTCAGTCAGGATTCCCTATCATTGCATAATATTGCAAAAACCTGACAGCTTCAGTCCGGCAGCAGCGGGATGTGATGCGAAACCGCTTTTATATTGAAAATATAATAAAAACCTAAGCCTGAAACGGGTTTTGTCGCAAGAATCTCGCAAGATGATAATTCTTTCTTCCCCTCTTTTTTCATCTTTTCCTTCATTTCTCGGAGAGTCGTCAGGGGAATTCTCCAAGACATCGTTCGTCCTGTCTTCAATTGTTTCCGACAGGTTACAGTAAATTTTAATGATATTTCTTTTAACGGCATGTGTCGGATATAAACACATGTTCTAAAAAAAGGAACATATCATGAAACTATTTTGAATAGATTACAATTGAATTTATTCTAGAAAAAAATAATAAAAATCTAGGAAATAACAGGAAAAATTCTAACTCTTATGCTTTATTTCAGAAACATGTAGGTTAATAAATACAACATTCTAAACTGTTGTGCGCTCTACTTTAAACATGAAAATATTTTAAGCGAGAAACTACTTCTTCACGATCAGTGATGTGCGAATCTGGGACTTGATTGAATAAAATCAGATAAAATCAGATTGAAAATTTATAATTTTATTCGCATTTAACGGAATTAAGCGGCGGAATACAATTCATTTTTTTTTTTTGGTCCATGGATGAATCAGCAGTCGATACGATATATCGCGACGATTCATTCGCTCCATTAGGAAGCTGTTCTGTCGATGCGCGTAGAACTTGTTAAAATAGACACACGAGCGAGACGAGGCTTCCCTCCCCGAGGGAAAAACGGCCACCACAAACGGCCTCCGTCGTAGTCTCGTTAAGGGTCGGTCGATCCGTCATTTTCAGATCAATCCGGTCGATAAAAAGAGCATGGCGACCGCGGAAGCGGGAGAGGGAGAGGGAGGGTGCGAAAACCGGGTGCGAGACGACCGCGTAATTTGTCGCTGGGGTTACCCCCGTCGTCGCTGGATCTCCGTTCGATTTTCTCATTATCGCGGGCGAAGGAGACGAAGGAGACGAAGGAGAGAATCCGACGAGCGGGACGGCGAGCACGCTCTCGCGTCTGTTGAAATCGCTGATGTCTAATAGCTTGAAGTATAAGACGGTAAATAAAAATGGGCGATAAATTACATGGCGTTACATCGCGGAATATTAAAGGGTGAGCAGATAATTACCGTCCGTTCGAATTAGAATACGCTGTTTGCGCAACGCGACGCAAAGAATATATATATATATATACATGTTATTTTTCTTTCAACGAATCACGCGAAATGATGGAAATATTTTTGATTGTTTTTTTTTCAAATTTTGTAGATGATACGAAGAGGAACGATTAATTAACACAAGAGACATCCGACGCGCGCGTAAGATGAATCGCGAGTTTACTCAATCGCGTGTAAAATGCAGAATTGGCAAGCTGCAACTGCCAATTAAAGCATGTTAACGCATTGTGCGGTGAAATCGCGTTGGTAGAAATCGATTATCGACAATCCTGCTTGGCAGACAAAGAGGTATTTCAATATCCTGATGTCTCTCGTTCAAGCCAAAGCCCATTGGCTTTTGGCTTTGTAATATCAACCAAATTTCCCTATCGCTATTGCGAAATCTAACTCGTCGAATTAACCTTTTATCACGACGAAGCCACCTTCAGCAATTTGCCAAGTATCAATAAAATTAAGATCACGAGCGATTTAGCGTAAAGTTTTGTTTTATCTCGCAAATTAACTGTGCTTGATAAAGTCCAAGGCACGAAGTCTGCATTAGCATTTTAAAGAGTTTGAATTATCAGTGACAAGAATCACAGAGCATTCGTCGTGAAAACAACAAATCAATACACGTGTGCAAAGACAATAAAGAATCATCCTTTTTTATTAAGAATCGCCGATTTTTATAAGCGAACGAACGTGACAAATTCACGAGCGATACGGAAATAATCGAAGGATACCAAAGAAACGATCAGATTATTATCCTCGTCACGCTTTAGAAACTAACGCTAGATCAGGAAGTTTTCTGGGTTATAACAATTGTTTTTAATAGGACAAAAGTTGTCTGAGTATCCGAGCGATACTTCTAACCGCGATCTCTGAATTTATGACACGCTACATCAATATCTTTGATTCGTTACTGAAATGAGGATTGCAACTGTCCATGGCGCGAAAGTAAATAATATGTTAGTCTAAATTTTTGCAAGAAGCTAGAGAATATGCCACGTGCCAAATGTCAAAATTTCGAAGAAAGAAATCTCGCAATAATTACGAATTATTATATAGCCGTGTTTTTTTAAGAGCACTTCTAACATTTAATCGCATTCGGTTTAACCTTCCTAACAACGAGGTAAAGATAATCGTGAATGGATCTCTTGGAAATTTCGAATCGTTCATAATCCTCCATAGTAATTTATCACTCTCCAGGAAGATTAGTGAAGAGATAGTTGTGATAACACAATCAAACAAAGAGAGCAGTAGCTGCAGAGAGCACGTAAGCTTGATCACACAGATCCCTTTAAAATTTTAATCTGGCTTAAACACCCAGTTTAATGAGGTATTGCAAGCAAAATTTGATGCGTAAGATCCTTATAATACGTGGTGATATTAACCGCAACTGGCTCGAGATTTTAGCTCTGGTCGTAATCTCTTTATCTCTTATCAAACTCCGGACGGAATTTGCATAATTTTGAAATAATCCCTCGTGGCGAAGTGAACGAGCAGCCATTCCGAGAGGCAGAGCATAATGATCCTACAATATCAACATAAGATCTTCGTCGTCCATCCAAGGAAATCAGTACGCTCGTATTGTATTGTCGCCATTATGTCTGCACACATGCGTGCTCGAATAGCGTGCTGATAAAAATGTGTCTATCGCCGACGAAGAAACACCGATCTTTCCAATCCTCCTCACTAAATCTTTTTTTGCAAGGACGTTTATTTTTACAAAGATCAATCCTATCGCCCTCCTGTCTCTATTATTCAATCGGGTTTTTAAGGTGATTTCAGTAACTACTTACTCCGTCGGAAGTAAAAGCGATTTCCTCTTCCAGTGAATAATTTCAGCAATTTCTATTTTGAGCTCGAATCTCTTTTAGGCAGCGTCCCGGCAACAACCAGAAAACAAATTTTAATCGGCTTTTCCATGCAAATCAGATATTGTCTGTGTTGGATTAATCGTCCGACGATTTTCCCAGGATGTTTCCTCTCGTTTTCCCTTTGCGATATCGCTTATCACCGAGTTATCCTGAAGGACCGATCGATCGTTGCGCCTAAAGCCCTTATCTGAAGGAGCGAGAGGGTTTCTCTCAAGGTCGCGTAAAGTGCGTAACCTTCTTTCAAGGACGAGCGCATGCTCCGCTTTACACGTCGGTCGCGTTTCGTTCGAAGCATCAACAGGGTTATTTCGTAACGTAAATGTCGAACCGCGATCACAAAGTTTGCCAATCTCGACGTTAAAATTACGACGTTACAATTCCTTTAGGAAACATAAAATAGAAAGGGGAACAGAAAAAAGTCCACCGTCATAGGAAGATACGATCTCGCTAGAAAATCTTCGTAGTCTTCGGTCGCTCTAACTGAAGAGCGTCTCTCTTTTTTACTCTCGTCGGATTTTATTTTCCCCGAGTTCTCTTTTACTGATTCCTTCCAGCATATCGCCTTTACATAAAAGATGATAAGCGGCCAACGATCGAATCGCCATGCCGTATTTATAGAGATTTATTTGTTTCATATTTCCTGAATAATTTCACGAGCTCTTCAAGGTCGATTGTCGATCGAATCTTTTCGCGTCCAAGGACTCGTTTTATTATTTACGGAACCACCCGTGGGGCCGGCAGGGCCAATGGAGCCTCTCGTAATTAGGCGTAGAGAAGAGAGACGGCCGTGCAGCTGTTCGGCAAACGATATTAATTAAAATCCATTAACGAAGCCGGCTGACACTAACTGTGTGACGTGTGATATACTATAATGTCACTCTTAGCTGAGATGTATGCCGAAACCGGAGAAGGTAGGCGATCCAACTCTCCAATTTATCCTGTAGGACGTGAAAGGGGCGAGAGATTAGTTCCGAGTGGCGGTTTAATATACAAAATATGTTATTTTTGTTTTTATTTCTTTCCCCCGCCGTATAAAAAATAATTATCATTTTGTGCAATGCGAGAGGGGAGTCTGGTGCCGCAAACGGCGGAGTCACGTAAATTTTTTATCTATATATTTCTACGACGTGTCAATAATATGGACGTTTGTATGCCTATCAATGATATCACCTATCAATAATATAGACCAGCATGTGTCATAAATTGGGATAATTTCAAATTCATGTGTCACGAAATGGTATAAAAATAATGTTTACAGAGATATAATAAATAAATTAAAAAATTTTTAAAAAGTAAAAAGATCTAATTTTGTTAGAATCTTTAATGTTTAAATTATCCAATAAGATTAATTTTATGCAATTATTATGACATATGTATCGATAACTTATTATTAGTTTTTTTTCATAACGAGTTAACTTTGTAACTAATTGGGCGACATTTACCAAACATACCAATATAATTGATGAAAATATAAAATTCAAAAATTGCGGGTTAACTTCGTAATGAGTTTCTGTTCATCACATAACTGCGTAACTTTATTATATATGTAGCTTGGCGCGAAACATTACTCGTGTCTTTTGATGAATAATCAATCGTTTTACAACTAGTTTTACAACTATTATTTATGTTTTAATTTTTTATCTTTCACGACTTTACAGGATCACGATTATGACTCAGAAATGTAGTATCGATAATGGTCAAATTTTATTAAACTATAATATATTTTTATTTACATTCTTGATATATATATATAACATGTGACATTTTGCGAAATGTTAGTTTTTCTATGAAACTAAAAACAAGAAATTATGAATTCACAACCATTATATTTTGTTTTACTGGCAATAGTTTTCACTCTTGTACTTACAATACTACCTGTAGTACATGCAGTAACTAAAGTCGATGCTATAATAGGACCATGTCCTAACCATGTCCTAAGAGGACAATGGCCTATAGGTATATATGATTATTGTTTATTTATTTATTTTTTTAACAATAAAATTATTTGTATTAATATCAGATCTTATTTTATTTAAAATTAACATATTAGTTAATATCTACCTTTTGACATTATTATAAATTGACAGATACATCTAAATCTATCTTTTATATTAATATAATCATAATACATGAAAAAGATTTTAATATTCCGTAAAAAATTTTAATGTTTAAATAGAAATATCTAATTATACATTATTGCAAAATATATTTTATATCTATGTATGTTTTACAGGAATCAAGTGTTGAAGAATTATACTTCGAAGGTATTAATTTGCAACTATGAAAATTAATTTTATATGTATTAAAATGATAAAATAAATAAATACTTAAAATGTATTAGTTTTTAGTTATTTTTGACAATAGACAATTTCAATATACAATTTCATCAATATATTATCTGAAACTGGCGATAATTCAAAAACAATGCATTTTCGGATTTATGTTCATATCAACTTTTTTTTTGCTTTTGAATCTCCAATCACCCTCCTGTAATTGACTTCAACTTATGGAACAAACTGTATATTTTAGGTAATATATATATTATTATAACATAAACATAAACAGAAAAACATATAACATATACTAGTCTAGAAAAATATATATATATTTAATATATAAATATATATAAATATAATATATATATATATTTATATATATATATATATATATATAAATAATACATTTAATTTACTAAAGTCTTCCTGCAGTAGAAGAGATTACGCGAAGCATAGCTCGATCCCCAAAATAAGAAGCGAGGGAATAAGGAAAAACGAAGAATATAATCCCTCTCTCTCTCTC